ATGTCCTCTCTTTTCTTGCTATGTGTTTTAGTCTTTTTGAAAGCACTGAAATTCAGCTGGGACTTGCTTGCAGTATTTTAGTGGTATTTTTGTTGGATATGAATAATCAGTACATCACAAGTTTAAGTAAAATCATTAAACAAAAAATTAAATATGGGTCATTCTCACGAACTACGAAAAACCATTTTTTGTAGAGCAGTTGACATTATTTTTCAGGTAGACATTGTCATTTGCAGCTCTGATTTGATGATTTTTTTTTAAACCACTACCCCAAATTAGGAGCCAAAACCCAGTGACACAGACTGTTTTTATATCTTTAAACTTTATTCCATGTATCCCATAATAAACAATCAACTTGTATGATAAGATGTATATTTTTGCCCATTTTTGTTAGTTTTGTGATTTTCTTCTCGTCTCAGTAAATCTTACCCTGGATTTGATGAAATACTATTACAGAAATAAATGGTAACATAAAACTGATCAACTATCCCAGAGGCAAAACTGACAGTTTAGTTATATAATTTGAGTCTGTCTTCACACTAATTTAAAAAAATAATCACTGAAAACTGTGTGATTAATTAGTAATATTTGTAATCCATTCCAAATAATAAATGAACAACTCAGTATCAGTACCCAGAGCTGGGTAGTCATAACAACCCAGTGGTTAAACTGCATAACCCATGAACCAGGGTCAAAATAACCCAGGGCGTGTTCTGTCCAATATGTATCCAGCGCTGAGCTGCCAGTTAACCCAGGGGACTGTGTCAAAAAGTCAGAATTCTTAAGCCGGATAATATGTTGGATTTAAGATAGTCTGCGTTCACCTAAATGAACAAAGGTAAAGTCCATTTAAACTGGGGTACCTTAAATCCTTAACCCAGCATTTTTCAGTTTGCAAACTGTGTCATGTGCTTCGTGGGACATGCTCCAGGCTTACCGTAATCCACACTGAAAAAGCACTCATAAAAATGGAAGTGTGCCTGCTTTCCTATGAAACCTTAAACGTAGAGTATAAAAAAATAAGATAACCACCATGCAATGTTTTCCAGGCAATTGCAGTCATAAAAACACACCATGATGTGATGCCACTATGGAAGTAAATTAATGACAAAAGTCGCTGATGAAAAAAAACACGTTGAATTACACTTATCGAATAAAAACGCATTGCATTAATGACGCTTTGAATTTTTGGGGACTGTACTTTAATATGTGTATACATTTAAACATTGAACATTTCAACTGAAAACATTTCAATTGTAATTTCATTGCTTAAATATTCAGTACAAGAATATTCGGCTTCAAAAATTCAGTTCGGACCCGGTACATACGTATTTTAAAGTGCATGTTTATAATTCAACCACATGAATTCAGTTCATTTAATTTCGCCTCAAAATAAATTTCAAAAGCACAAATTCAGTTGAAAATATTCCATGTGTTTTATTCGCATTTTTATTATTTAAGCAGTAACATTCAGTCCTCTTATTTCTGCATTACAATATTCAGTCCCGTTATTTTCGCTGTTTCAAAGACGCTGCCACAATTTCAGTGGTTTAAAGTACGGTCCGAAATTCAACCCTCTACATCCGGGAATAGCAGGATGAGCGATAGACTGCAGATAGAGTTCTCTTCGGGAACCGCGATCAAAATGGAGCAAGTGATCAGTACAAGTACTGATTGACTTTGCAACAGATTTTCGTTGATCGTGTTTTATGTTTCTTGTCGTTCACTGGTCAATACAATAACTTATTGCGCCCCCAAATAATAGTTTTTTATGTAAGTAATTCGCTAGCTGCATTAATTATCACCAAACTTATCTTGCTAACGTAAGATGCCTGCGGGCAACTACAAGGTCCGCTATCTTGCAAGCTGGCCAGCTAGGTTGTTGGGATGGGATAGTAGTCGACTTGGGGACTGACAGGTCTGCGATGTCGGCGATGACACCAGAAGGGACCTAAATAGCACTTTGAAAGTATGATATGCCTAATTAATTAAGGAAAAGACGGTGGAGATGAAACGGCATCCGACAGTGCTGGGCCGTGAAATATCGCGTCGTGTTTATGAACATTCATATCGTCATCAGTGTATAATATCGTGCTAAACATTTGTTTTCTTACATAATTAATACTTATAATGCACTATTTATACAAATTACATGAGTCAGTTGCTGGCACCCTTACCATTATACCTGTTGCCAGCAGCTTTCATAACTCCATCCATCCATCCATTTTCTCCCGCTTATCCGAGGTCGGGTCGCGGGAGCAGCAGTCTCAGCAGGGAATCCCAGACTTCCCTCTCCCCGGCCACTTCATCCAGCCTGGGAACGCCCGAGGCGTGAAATGCGGGGCACGTGTGGGCCCCACACTGTGGGGCCCTTGTGGGGCCATTGTGGGCTGCCCACACTAAGCAAAGTGGGCCCCATTGGAGCCCATTGTGGGCCCACACTATGCCCACACTTTGGGCCAGCCTACACATACATGCCCTGCATTTTTTGGCCTGCTGGATGCTCCCCTGTGGGCATACTGTGGGCACACTGTGAGGTGTACTGTAGGCACATTGGGCATACTGTGGCCGAACTGTGGGCACACTGGACACACGTGGGTAATTGTACTGCGGACACATTGGGCATACTGTGGGCAAACTGTGGGCACACTGGACACACGTGGGTTGTACTGCGGACACATTGGGCATACTGTGGGCAAACTGTGGGCACACTGTGGAGACATTGGGAGGGAGGAAAGCTGTGAAGCCACAGTGCTCCAGTGTCCCCGTGGGCATGCTCTGTGGGTCTTTAAGAAATAACTAAATTAGTTTGGTCCTATACTGGCAGTATACCAGAACATTATTAAAGTGTATGCAGAATATTTGCACTTATTGATAGTAGCAGTAATAAACTACAAGTAATATGTTTCAAACACATCTGTTCACAGACAGGTTAAAAGAAGAAAACATTGAAAATTGAATACAAAACTGAGTATGTGGATTGAGTACAAAATATTTTTTT